ACAGACCATATAATCGGACTGGTTATACTACCAGCCGAGCTCTCATGCTAACTGGTTATATTACCAATCGAGCTTCATGTTGTCTGTCGAGCTTTCTTACTGTCTGTCGAATTGAATATATTGTTGGCCGAGCTTTCCATGTTTATTAGTAATCTCACTCATTTTTAACTAATATGAGATTTCAACTTACCATGAATTCCTAACACCTTTTTCAAGTATAAATAAAGTGATCCTAACTTGAAGGAAATGAAAGTTGTCACACTTTTTTATGCTAATAATGAGGTAAACTTTAAAGCTGAAAACAACAAAACGTCCAAAACTTAAATTTTGTATAAGCATCAGCAATGATTATCAATTCTGTCTGACAAATTGAAGCACATCAGACTTATGAATTTTAATTTGTTCATGAATGTCATCCTTGCCTTAATTTTTAATGAAAAGCCATCAATATGGGTTTGCTATATAATATAGTGAATCAAGAAATACTTTATCTCCTTAATTATATTAATTTGTTTTTCCAAGAATAAAACAGACAAATTATATCTTTGATTGTGTAATCAGTAAATGCTTGGATCATTATTTAGATAATGAGTAGCAATAAAGAAAGTATGAAGAGCTTTTACTCACTGTTGGTGGACGGCAGGTTGTCCCCTGAAACAGAAAATAAATCATGAAAAATTGGCCTATATTGTTAAATAATAGAATGAGGAATTAACAAGTCAAAACAATAGAGAAAGCAAGAACAAAAGAGAAAGAACACTACTAAATATTTACATACAGGTTGTGAATTTCCTAAGCAAGGTTGTTGCCACCAGATAGAGCCTCGACCATCAATGGACCCTTTCCCACTTATAATTAAACCATCGATGAATGAGAAGCCAAGCCATGTATTCGTGTGGAATCCAGAATATTCCGGTTTTGTTTTTGGTGCAACAATGTTCCCTGAAAGCTGAGGTCCCACAAAATCTTAAATTTTTACCAAGAAATATGACTCAGTTTAGGATCTACTCTTATACTGTCTATACAATAATCTATGTATTCTCTACCACATAGTTGATCATTCATAGATGTTAAAGCTAAAACACACTCGAAATGCATACACATCGATACGAGAGAGAAGTGTGTTAAGAGTTAGTAAGATAAAACTAATTTATAATATATAATGTTGGAAGTCCCACGTCAACTAGAGAACTAGAGAACTAGAGATAAGGTCAATTCATACTTTATAAGTGGGTGCAAACCTCACTCTAAAAGTCGGTTTTNTGTTCATGAATGTCATCCTTGCCTTAATTTTTAATGAAAAGCCATCAATATGGGTTTGCTATATAATATAGTGAATCAAGAAATACTTTATCTCCTTAATTATATTAATTTGTTTTTCCAAGAATAAAACAGACAAATTATATCTTTGATTGTGTAATCAGTAAATGCTTGGATCATTATTTAGATAATGAGTAGCAATAAAGAAAGTATGAAGAGCTTTTACTCACTGTTGGTGGACGGCAGGTTGTCCCCTGAAACAGAAAATAAATCATGAAAAATTGGCCTATATTGTTAAATAATAGAATGAGGAATTAACAAGTCAAAAAAATAGAGAAAGCAAGAACAAAAGAGAAAGAACACTACTAAATATTTACATACAGGTTGTGAATTTCCTAAGCAAGGTTGTTGCCACCAGATAGAGCCTCGACCATCAATGGACCCTTTCCCACTTATAATTAAACCATCGATGAATGAGAAGCCAAGCCATGTATTCGTGTGGAATCCAGAATATTCCGGTTTTGTTTTTGGTGCAACAATGTTCCCTGAAAGCTGAGGTCCCACAAAATCTTAAATTTTTACCAAGAAATATGACTCAGTTTAGGATCTACTCTTATACTGTCTATACAATAATCTATGTATTCTCTACCACATAGTTGATCATTCATAGATGTTAAAGCTAAAACACACTCGAAATGCATACACATCGATACGAGAGAGAAGTGTGTTAAGAGTTAGTAAGATAAAACTAATTTATAATATATAATGTTGGAAGTCCCACGTCAACTAGAGAACTAGAGAACTAGAGATAAGGTCAATTCATACTTTATAAGTGGGTGCAAACCTCACTCTAAAAGTCGGTTTTGTGTGATTGAATTAGGCTTAAAGTCCACCTCTAACATATAAGTAGATATAAAACTCGTTTTACAAGTTGATTTTATAAAATTGAATTAGACTTAAAGTACATATCTTAATATAGTTTACATGAAAATTGAAACAAAAAAGTTAATGTTTTTTAACCATTTGTAAAGGTTGATGATGGATAGTAGATGGAGAATGAGTATTATGGATTAATAAGAATAAGTACCTGAATGTAGGTGTAATTGGATTTGCATGGACCACTGAATGTAGTAGGCTTCAGCATGAATGTTCGTTTTGCTGGTATGATGAGCTGAGATATGTGTGACTTGCTCTGACAAACGTCTTTCCATGCCTTCAGAAAGGCCTGTTCAAGAACATGATTTGGAATTGTTTTAGAATGGAAGAAATTAATAATCTGTGAAAACTAAAATTATGAGAGTTCATGATTATGATTTACTGGAGAATCGTTGGTTTGTCCATCTCCGACTGCTCCATATTTCAAAACATTGAAAGTAGTTGTTGTGCTGCTCAATCCAGGTGCAAGAACACTCAGAATGATCAACACTCTGAACAAAAACTCCTGCATGAAATTATCATTTTCCATGACATACAAGACTTTGTTAATGGTGAAAAAACTGTAAGAACTTAATATATACAAATCAAACATCATCAGCGAAGTCACTACAACATATACAAAGTTAACTACAATGTGACATTATGTCAGATTCTGACCATGTTATGTTCAAATCTTCAGTGCTCTTGAAGATTCACAGACTGATATATGCCATGTACGTACCCAATTTCTTCTGCTATATATAGACTGTAGAATGTAGAATGTGTGTATTTTGAAAGCAGATTTTAGAAGTTAAATTGGCTTAATTTTAGTGATAAAGTTATGTTTGGTTTTACTGATATTGGTTCAGTGCATTAATTGAACTGCACACAATCTAATTGGAAAACACATGGCTTGTGAAGACTAAGACATTGTTTTCACTGTAAGCACATGAAGCAGATGCACCTTTCTACGCTTTCTTCTGAACGAACGTTATGCTCCTTCATTTACACTCAATACTCAATAGTAAACTATGGTAAACACGTCAAAAGAATTGCTAACTTTTGGTTGAAAAGTACCTTCTACTTTGATTTCAAACCACGTTGTTCTTGATAATATATGGAAATACTCTTCTAAATATTTATTTAAATGAAATATAATCACGAACAATTTATTTTACAATATTGAAATATAATTCAAGACTGTAGGTAAAATATGCTGACCTAACATAAAATACTATAAATAATATTAAACATTTTTATTTACTGTTTCGGATGTAAGGATGATAAATATAATTACTTATTTTTTTACTTTAACTATATATTTATAAGTTTGAAAATAAGTTTTTAATT